TAAATTGCTGCATACCGCAGTAGAATGTAAGCTTCATGAGGGCAGAGATTTGTGGTTTTTTTTTTTTTTTTGTCTATTTTATTTTGGTCTGTTTTGTTCACTGTTAGGTCCTCAGTATGTTGAACAGCTCCTGGCACACAGTAGGTGCTCAATAAATATTTATTGAGTGTAAAGTGCTTAGAGCTGCACATGGCATGCAGTAGATGCTTAACAAATGTTTGTTGAATGGATAATTAAAAAGTTTGCATGTGGTCTGTTGGTACCCTTGGCTGTTCTTCAAAAGCAAAGCTATCGCCCCACATTCTGTCCCTAAGTTCTTGCTCACGGAGGGATGGATGGGGGAGGTGGGGAATCTCCCCCAGTGCTAAGGGACCCTTATTTCTCTCCCATAACACCAAGGTTCTCTTTCTCTACTCACCGCATGACTTTAACTCCATTCCGAAGGACTTCCATATCCACAGAGAACCCACCATTGGCATGAGCCACAAGGTTGAGATCAGAGAATTCAGCCTGGGATGGAGAGAAAATCGGTGACTCACCCATAGCACACAAAAATGAGCACTCAGTTTGTGGTCTGGACAGTTGATCCCCAGGTCCCCCTGTCCCATCTTACCTGTTCTACTTTAATGTCAATTTCTCCATGAATCTTTTTCCCTTTGAAGTACTTGGCCCTGGAGAGGAAAGTAGAGCACATCCATCAATGCTTGAATCTCAGGGAGGAAGGACAAAAACCCAAGCCAGTCCCATGACCCCTGTGCCTCTTCAGTGCCACTACCGAAACCATAAAGCGCTTCACCATTGTTGATACATCTTGGAAAGGTCAGCCGTGCACTGTGAACAATAAAGCCTTTTACACTCATCACGGAGGTGTATACATGTAGAAGGGCACTGCAAACTCTAAGCACCTCCTTAACCCCCCGAGGGAAGGCATGTCCAAAACATGGGCTTAGTGTCACACTGCTGTTATGAAGGCTTTTTACAAATATGGTTATTTAAGAGGGGGAGAGAGAGAGAGAGAGAGAGAGAGAGAGAGAGAGAGAGAAACACATTCCCCTATCTGCTGTTTCATTTCCCAAATGTCTGCAACAATTAAGAAGGGGGGAGCCAGGAATCAGGACCACAATCCAGGTCTCCTATGTGGGTGGCAGGAACCTAAGTATTTGAGCCATCACCACTGTCTCCCAGAATCTGCATTAGCAGGAAGCTGGAGTCAGGAGCTGGAGCTGGGAATCAAATACAGGCACTCTGATCAGTGCATTGCAGGCATCCTAGCCAGTGCCTTGACTGCTAGGTTAAATGCCAGCCCCTTAATATTTATGGGGTACAGAGTGATATTTAAATACATGCAATGCTGTTGACCAATTATATCAGGGTAACTAGCATACCCATCCCCTCAAATATTTTTTATTTTTATTTTTTTTGACAGGCAGAGTGGACAGTGAGAGAGAGAGACAGAGAGAAAGGTCTTCCTTTGCCTTTGGTTCACCCTCCAATGGCCGCCGTGGCCGGCGTGCTGCAGGCGGCACACCGCGCTGATCCGATGGCAGGAGCCAGGTGCTTCTCCCGGTCTCCCATGGGGTGCAGGGCCCAAGCACCTGGGCCATCCTCCACTGCCCTCCCGGGCCACAGCAGAGAGCTGGCCTGGAAGAGGGGCAACCGGGACAGAATCCGGCGCCCCGACCGGGACTAGAACCCGGTGTGCCAGCGCCGCTAGGTGGAGGATTAGCCTAGTGAGCCGCGGCGCCTGCTCTTTATTTCTTTATGTTTGGGAACATTCAAAATCCTCTGTGCTGTTTTTTTGTTTGTTTTAAAATTTATTTTATTTATCCATTTCCCCTTCTTAGCCTCTGGTTACTATGTAAATGTTTTGGAAAAGCTTCACAAAATTAGTGCTATGTCTGTTCTAAGGCTTTGAAATTGGATGGAAGGGCGGGTGTTGTGGTTCAGCAGGTCAAAATCACCCTTTGGAATACTCGCATTCCCTGTCGGAGGGCTGGTTCATGTCCAGGCATCTCCACTTCCAACCTGGCTTCCTGCTAATGCACTGGGGAACGCAGCAGATGATGTCGGCTCGAGTGCTTGGGCCCCTGCTGCCTACATGGGAGGCTTGAATGGAGAGCTGAGATCCTAGCTTTGGCCTAGCCCAGCCCTGGCTGTTGTGGGCATTTAACAGAGTGAACCAGTGGCTAGAAGATATCTCTGTTTATCCCTCTCTGTCTCTGTGTGTGTCTCTCTCTCCACCTTTCAAGTCGATGAAAATAAATAAATAAACATTTAAAAACAGAGATTGGGTGGAGGAGGTTTGTACACGGCAATGAGCGGCAGGGAACACGTGTGGATGAGGGGCTCTGTTGCTCTGTATTTCAGTGCCTCTGTGCATCTCAGTGCCTGTGTCTGCACATGTGTTCTCAGCATCTCTCTCTGCTCTCGGGCCCTGTTGCAAGGAGGAGCATCTTCGCCACGGGTGGCTGTGTGCAGTGAGGCACACAACAGCCGTGGGTGGGCAGCTGCATGCCAAACAGGAGGCAGAGATGGAGGGCTGCAGGCTGGGGGTGGTTCTAAAGAGGAGGCAGCCAGCAATGGTGGGGGCAGGGAGGGATGCAGTTGGGGAGCAGGGAGAAGGAGTAGGCAACAGGCACATCACGACCTGCTATGTCATCATCCCCGGGCCTGTCCCCAGCTGGGCTTGCTTTCCAGCAGCTTCCTCCCTCATACCCAGGTCTCTGCCTGACAGCTTTCCCACAAGGCAGCTCACCCCCAGGCAGCCTTCTGGTGGAAGGCGATGAGAAGATACTCCCAGCGTCTCTGGTCCCTGACAGGCAAGCGATCAGGATCTCTGACACACACCCACCACACAAATGGGCCCTGGTGTCTTCCATGACACACACAAGGGACTTCCACTTCCTTCCTGCCTGCCTTTCGCTCCTCCTTTACACCCCAGCCCCACACAGCCCGTCAAAAGCATCAAAAGAGAATTTCAGACACGCACCTTTCTGATCTATAAACTTCTGATGAATGTGTATCGCACTGTGTCTCAAGCCCTTCTGATCATAAGTGTAGCGGGTGCTGACATGTTCTGCTCAGCCCTCCTCTTCAGGTCCATTGTACCTTGAGTGTCAGCTGCTGACAGCTCATGGCCTTGTCCCTGCTGGGAACTGTCTTCTGTCACAGGGCACTGCCTTGGCCAAGGTTACACCTACTCTGAGAAGATCTGCTCTCTAAGAGGCCACAGGGCCAGCCTTGGGCTCCACCTAGGCTGCCTCTGAAAGGCCATCCTAGCTCCAGAGTTCCTCTTCGAATCACCTCTGAAATAACAGCACGGCAAGCCAGCCTCTCTCTGCGTTCTGCTCTCCCCTCCTCACGGGGCAAAGGCACTCCCGAGCAGGCCTCCTGCATGCAAATCCTTCTCTCAAAGTCCGCTGCCAGGACCCCAGGCTAAAACAGTGGGCCAGAGAAATCAAAGGACAAAGACTCTGATACAATTGTGGAGCGGGGTCACCTAGTAACCAGACGGCCGCCAGGCTCCATCAGGCATGGGAGGCTCTGCTCAAAGGCTCTGCTGTGTTGTGGCCCACACAGGGCACTCTGCAGTATGTCCTGGCTGTGGGGGGACAGGCAGGCTGTCACTTGGGCCATATGATCTGGATATCAGTAGTAGGAAAAGATGCTGTGTGGAGTGTATTCCCCGCAGGGGAGAATCACAGCACAGGTCCCTGGGGCTTTGCAGCAGCAGGGACTTTTTCTGAGGAAGGGAATGAACCTGCTGGTGAAATGTCCCTGGCACTGGAGAGGTACAAGGGACATGGTAACCAGATTGGGGGGATTATTTGCTAAATGCTATTGATTAGACTGAAAAGATATGATATGCTCAGGGTGAAAATATCACCAAATCCTGGCAAAATGTGAAAGCCAGAGGACCTCCCTGCCTGCATGTAAGGAAGCCCTAATCTGCAGCCAGCAGGCAGACAGAACGGAGGGCGAGGCCAGGATTTAACTGTGACGGTGGCAGAGCTTCAGAGAAAGTTGGATTCTCAGGCTCAGCACACATCTCCTATGCCATGCTCAGGATCCTAATAGGATAGGAGTGGGACACTGAGGCTCGTGATGGAGATATCTAGGCAGATGTGGTAAAATACCTTGACCTTACAGACCCACCTGAACCGACTGGGCCTACAGATGTAGCCTACATGCCCTAGTTAGAATATAGACCTTCCTTCGTCTGCTTGAAGGGAAGAGGCATTGAATAAAGCAAGTGCTTTCCAAGACTGACTGCCTCCCTCGGAATCCACCTCCGCCTTTCCTTCCAGAGAGCAGACCAATAAACCAGGGTCACTTCCTAGCGCAATCTGACTGGAGAGCTTCCCAGATTGCGGAGGTAGGAGAGGAATGAGACACAGAAAAAGCTGAAGAATCTGGCTAACACATATTGGCAGGAGCTGATAATGTATGCATGGGACCGGGTCCTGAGGACAACCGATCAAGGAGGGAGCCTGTGAAGTTGGAGTACTCGCCCAGGATAGAGCTTCAAACCCTAGCAAGGACTTTGGGAGATGGCTCCTAACACTGCTGGGTAGATGACTCTTGTAAGCTTAGAGAAATCTGTGGCCCACACTCAGTGAAATAGAAATGCCAGAACTTCCATGGCCAATTGTGGAAAGTCTACCAGTTGACTATACTCTATGGGGGTTCTCAGAGCCCATACCCAATGTGTTAAACCAATATGGAGTATGTTGATGACGGTGGCACCAGCCATGCTGAGAACCACAGTAGTGCTAAGTCCTGGTCCAGATACTCACTCCGTGGCCACTTTCCTAGTTCACAAGTTCATATGGCATACTTCGTAGTTGTCAGAACCCCTATGTGGGTCCCTTAGAGCCTGTGAAGCAAGAACTATTGCAGTAGGAGGTCCACCTGGAAGCTTCTGAAAACAGCACACCTCTGTGTCCTGACCAAAACAATAGGTCAAAATCAATACTGTATATACCCCAGGGGTAATGATGGGAATCTGTAACACTCTGAACTATTTGAAAGATGCAGGGTTTGGATCCCATCTTAGGCCCATTGAATTAACCAGTTTGGTTATTGAGGAGGTTGGATGGATCCTGGAGAATGCCTGTAGACTACTCCAAGTGCAACCAAATACAGCAGTACTCTTGACTGTAGCTGCCATATTGGATACACTATCATTGATGGAGCAGAGCAGCAAGACCTCAGGTAGAGCAGGTGCTACTGATTTGGCAAACACATTCTTTTCTGTTATGATGAGAAAAGAGGATTAGAAATAGTTCACCCTCATGTGGACTGATAACAACATTGCTGATGGTCTTTCCATGGGACTTCATTATCTTTCTTTCACCCTGTGTCAGAATACAATCTAAAGCAACCTAGACTATTTGGACATCCAACAGAACATCACACTGGTCTACTATATTGATTACATCATATTGATAGTACAAGAAAAGCAAGAGATGGTTAAGCATATGCCTTGATAAGACCCATGTAGTGCAAAGAGTGGGAGACAAACCCTACATAGATTCAAGGATCTGCCATATTAGCAACATTGTTAGGACTCCAGTGGTACAGAGCAGGCCAGGACAGCCCCTCTAAATTACTGGGCAAAGCACTGCACCTTGCACCTTCCACCTGAAGAGAAAGGCACAACAATTTGGAA